ACATCTCGATCTGCTTTTCTGAGTCTCTCGGAGTCTTCGCGACTCTGGCTCTGGTGTCCGAAAACTTTTCCTGACTACGTGCTGGCAATAATCTTGATTTTGGGTTATGCTTTCGATTGCTCTCCAGCGGTAAAGAAAATACGATACCTCACCTCAGTACCTTAGAACAGGGGAACATCGGCATTAATTCAATAAAGAATCAATTGATCTAGAAAATGTCACTAGTTATGGGCTAGATTGGGATCATTGTTAAAAGTGATCAAAGAAATTGATGAATTTTCCTTAATAGGTTTAAAAACTGATACAATCGTGTTAAATAATTATCATTGTTAAGTTTTGATGAACTCAATAAAAAAAAAAATGAACGGCGTGTGAATTTGAAGCAAAGAGTATGGAAGATTAAATATAGAAACAGTAGAAGCCATTATACAATTTCAAAGAAACTAAACGATGCTCGAAAAATGCCACACCGCCTACTTATTCCCTCCAAAAATAAATACACTGACTTGCTATCATTGTTATTGTTTTGTGCTGTAGCTAGTCTCAGACTGCTACTTTGTTCTGCGCCAAAGATTAACGGGACCTAAGGTTCCGAGCGAGGTAATTACTAAACAGTGAACGGGACCTAAGGTTCCGAGCGAGGTAACTAAACAGCGTACAAATCTGCAGCAACCAAACTCCAAGCAGTTCTTCAGTGAAGCAAAATTCCAAAACTCCAGCCACTATAAAGTATATTCAGATTAATCACCAGCAGCTTAATAACTACTAAATCGACAAAGACAACTCCGTTTAGTAAGACCAGCAACCACATGCATGATTCACTTCGTGCAAGACAAGTGAAAAGGACACGGGGCTCATGCGAGAAGAGAAACGAGCAGCAAGGATGAAGATTTTCTGATAATACCATGACCTAATTATAGATGGTTCATGCATCCAGTTTACACATTAGAAGACTCAGATTCTACAATAATTTTCACACCATGAATAGATCTTCTTAGAAGAGGATAATTTATAAGGGTTTGATCACAACTAACAGTTATGCTTCATTGAAGTCTTTGATCCCTACAAGGAAGGAAAAAAGACCCAAAGCCATTCATTTATGATCATGTACGTAGAATCCCCCCATACCAGCGGGACCAAGCTCATAAAAAGAGATGCATCCACATTCCAATTATATGCATGCTTATTCATAAGCCTAATTGGAACTATTTAGTGGATTTAAATCCAGTCTAATCGGAACTTCATAAAACTTGAGCGTAAGAGTATGATATATTATTCTTTTTCTCACATTTTCCAACATAGAAAGACTTAAATTTATCGGTAGATGAATGTATTTTCTATATTATTTTAACTTTATAAGTTTGAACATCACGAAAACAATAGGAGAAACATTTTTTATGAGTAAACTAATATTAATATTAATGACTTATTTAATATTTAACTAAAAGTAAGTTAATCTTGATATGTGAAATTTGATTGTTACGAATATATACAGTATGCAATTGATAAAGTCGAAAGGAGCTAGACCCATCAGTAAACTTCTCGAGCAAGGTCAAAGAAAGAAAATAAATACAGTAGACTCCAAATAAAAGAATCAAATTCAAATCTCCTCAATTTGTCAACTTTTGAATTTTGACCGAGCAGTTGACTGATCTGTGATATATTATACTCATGCAAAATGCAAGCACTGCGTGGACGGCTTCTATGTCTGCACGTGTAATCACATGCACTTCCATCCTTCTGTGGTGAAATTGGTAAGCAGCAGAGAAATTGCAGAACCGAAAGAAGGAGAAATACTGGCACTGGCTGTGCTATCATTAACTTGTAAAAAAATATTCGGCTTGCAGTCACGTGATACAAACCCTGCAACGTAAGCACCCACGTGATATGATCCCCCGTTTTTGTCCATGCTGGTAAACAAAAGGCATTGTTTATTTGGGCCACATAATGAGGAACACCATTTTCAAGTCACAAGTGAACGAGTGCAGTGGTGGTCAATTTTAGGAGAAGAACAGAGCACATGAAAAGTCCACTGACACATGTAACTCCGTATCTCTATTCAGGAGAAAAGAAAAGGAAAGGAAAAAAACCTGACAAATTGGGAGAACCTCACGTTGGAAAAACCAGGAATTTTTTTAATGTGGTTATTTCTCGTTTTGTTTCTTCAATCTAAAACAGCTCCTCCAAGGGAAGTAAATTTGTCAGTTGCTGCCTACTGTCATGTTACGTTTTCGTTCTTAGTATTGATTTGTTTCTTTATATTTTTAATATATTACAATAGCCAGGCCTATTTTAATTTAATTTTTCTATGTGTATCGGGTAATATTGGAGATTGTGAAAATAGTTGTTTTTCAGAGTTTTTTAATTAAAAATATATTAAAAATAATTTTTTAAATCTATTTTTGTTGTGAAAATAGTTGTTTTTCAGAGTTTTTAAATTAAAAATAATTTTTTAAAATCTATTTTTATTGTTTATACATCAACACAATCCAAAATTATATAAAAAAATTTAAATATTTTAAAAAACACGCCAAAACAAGCACTCTTGTTGTGAATTGCAAGCAACACGCTTGCAGGCCAAGGTTTTTCGGCTTCTATACCTTGGACACGGTGGATGGAATTAGTTTAAAAATGATGGGAAAGAGCTTTTTTTTTATTAATATAAATATTTAAAATAGTTTATATTAACCTGATTAATTTTATAAATTTTAAAATTAATAATTGTATAAGTTTTTAATGATCTTAAAATTTATAAATTATTTTTATTTTAAACAGATGGTGTGCAAATGGCTCTCTGACATGCTGATAAAATTACCCCATCATAGCAAATATGAAAAAAGAACATTATTGTTGCAAAATCTACTTGTAATGCTTAATGAATATCAATTTTAACAAATTATAAAATATAGTCTCAATCTCAACCAAAAACACAAATTACGCAGTGCTGAACGCTCTTCCACTGTCACAACAAAGAGAGATTCATCAATTCATATAATAAATTAAGATGGATATATAAGCTGCATGAACCAAAAGATTTGGCTCGGTTTTAATTTAATCTTAACTTTCTTAATGGGAAGCTAACCAGTACTTTAGACACGAATTTAAACTTTCGTTATACAAGCAGCTCCATGAAGATCGATGCCTATAAGTGAACAAGAAAGAAAACACGTCAAGACTCGTATTTGCGCAAGGTCTTATCCACCCCACCCACCGTCTAGTGTAATCATACCTGCCTGGCTACCAAGGGAAACATTCTTCTCTTAAGCATACATGAGACTTTCATCGTTCGGTTGTCTGTAGAAACGTTCGGAGTGACAGCGATGTGAACGCAAGGCAGTCGAGATTTCTTCGGCAGGGGCTACAAACTTTGACTATAGAATTCACACTTTTTGAAAATGGAGACCGTTTTTTTTCACACGCAAGCATTGAAGTGTCGGTCCTGCTTTTATTGGCGTTCTATACCACAGGGTTTCTTGCACACAACGATTTGACTTCTCCAGTTTCCTAGCTGCTAGTGATAGCGGCCCTCTCAAACAATTTGTTGACAAAAGGCTTTTCCTTGGGACCCGTTTGAAAATTATATGATCCCCTCGGATTCGATTAGAGCGGAGGGAACAATCTAAAAGGTATTGTTTGGGACCCAATGGAGTAAATGCAATATAAGATATACGTGTAATCCGCGTTTGTGTCTTGCAGTAGTCAATGGAAGGTAAACAATAGTGTTCATGGTGGTGGCTTGCATGTGGGCTTCTGGCACCTTTTGCTTTAAGATGATCGAGAAGGGATGAAAAGTCAAATCTCTTTGAATAATTACCCTTCAAAAAAGAAAGAGAAAATAATCAAAAGGAACGGGAGGAAGCTCATGAACTGAGTTTCTCGTTTATTGGCTCATTCATTTAAATAGAGTAGGTGTGATTAGATTTTGAGTTGATATAATTAACCAAGTTCACATGTTAGCTCATCAAGATAGGCATGATGAGAATTCTATCAAAAGAAAAACTGAAACAAATAATCTTGTTCCTAGTGGACAATACAGTGAAGACTGAAGAGTTTTTAGAATAGGAATTAATCAATTGCACCACTGACGATAAATAATTAATCTACAGTGAATCAACGACTCGTCAACAGTATTAATCACTCGTAACAGCTCCCTAAATCGATGTCATCGTGCCATTTTATGATTCGTGTTAAATTGTCTCCTAAATCTTGAAAGGATTAACTTTCACTCGGTTGACGACAAGAATAAATAAATAAATAAAATGAAATCAGTTGATAAAAAAAAGATTAAAACAAGGATAGTTTCTTTCTTCTTCTTTTTCAGCTCTCTTCAAGGCCCTTCGGGGCAGTGGTGTAACCCCACTTTTATGAAATTTTATATTTTATTTTAAATTATTTTTTTAATATTTTTAAATTAGTTTTAATATTTACATGTTAATGTTAAAAACAATTTTTTAAAAAAAATTATAATGAACACCCCATTATTACAGTAGAGTTTGAGCTGCAAAATAACTGGGCAACTGTGAGAGAAATTAATAATGATTTTCTACGAGTTTAAAATAAGTGTTTTGTTTATTTTTGTATTTTAAAAATATTTTTAAAATGTTTTGAAATTTTTTATTTTTTATTTTAAAGTAATATTTTTAAATATTTTAATATTAAAAATATTATTTTAATAAATTTTTAAATAAAATATATTTTAAAAAATAATCATCAGTACTTTCAATCAGGTACTATGTTGAACAGATTCAGATGTGTCCCAATGGTGCGGTGTATATTCAATTTCAGCTGCAAGTTGAGACTTCATATCAGCTATGGGCATGAGTCTCATCACAAGAAAACAATGTGCCAATGGTGTTATCAGTTGGGGGTCCCTTGCCAGTTTTAATTGGACGAGCATGTAGAGTCTATCTTTATATGGTGGGCAGCCGCCCAGCCTATGAAATGTCCACTCTCAACTTATACTATAATATTAGATTTATTAATTAGCCCCCCACGGTCCATACATTGTGGTTACTAAAAACCAATAGTGCAATAATCGAGACTCTCCCCCATGGGAACCAGAGAGAAATAAACCAACTACGTATGCTTAGCTCAGACCTTCTGTCTTGATATAAAATTTTAGTTCAGTAATTTCAGGCAAAATTTCTCTGAGTTTCAAGGCTTCCATGCCCGCATAAGCGCCTCCCCTCATTTATACCATCTTGATTTTCTCTCCCTTGTCTCTCTTCTCCACGTACCTGCATCTTTCCTGAGACCCACACATATTAATGTCCCTTTTCAGATCTTTCTTTCTCAATAGTAACAAGCTGGCTTTCTCTCTTAGCTTTCCTTGGTTTGAGTTTTCGTTGGGTTTCGAGTTCATAAATTAAGGTCGGTTCATTCTTGTTCTTATACGATAACTGATTTGCATGTTTCTGTGCATTGTATTCAAGATCTAAACGAGCCAGTCGGTTTGCCATTTCTGCTTAGCAAATCCATTTCATGGATCTTGTAAGAAAAGGCTACGGTTCTCAGTCTCTTCCACCAATGACAGGTCCAGTTGGTGGCTCATCAATATTTGGACCTCGTACTCAATCTTCAGATACAAGTTTCCCAATTATTGCCATTGCCATAATAGGAATTTTGGCAACAGCTTTATTGCTAGTTAGCTACTACATCTTTGTCATTAAATGCTGTCTGAATTGGCACCGCATCGATCTTCTAAGGCGATTCTCCCTATCAAGAAATAGAAATCACGAAGACCCTTTGATGGCCTACTCTCCTTCTGCTATAGAGTCTCGTGGACTTGACGAGTCAGTGATAAGGTCAATCCCAGTTTTCAAGTTCAAGAAAGAAGGCAACAACGTTAGAAACTTTGGAGAAAGAAGCTTCGGTGAATGTGCAGTTTGCTTGAACGAGTTTCAAGAAGCTGAGAAACTAAGAAGGATACCAAATTGTAGCCATGTTTTTCATATTGACTGCATTGATGTTTGGCTTCAAAGCAATGCTAATTGCCCACTCTGTAGAACAAGCATTTCGAGCACCACAAGATTCCCAATTGATCATAATATTGCTCCAAGCTCTACACCCCATGATGCAAATCCTTACAGTGAAAGAGTCATGGGTGGAGATGAAGATTATGTTGTCATTGAGTTGAGTAATCACAACTCTACAGATCAAACATTGCTTGCAGCACAGGAAAGATTGAATTCAGGAGAGTTATCAGCGCGCTCAATTAGTCCTTCGCCCAGGAAGATAGAGCAGGGAGATGGCCACAAGAAAGCAAGGAATCTTAGCAAGGTTACCAGCATGGGAGATGAATGTATTGATACAAGAGGCAAAGATGATCAATTCGGATTGATTCAACCCATCAGGAGGTCCTTTTCAATGGACTCGTCCGCAGATCGGCAGCTCTATTTGTCAATTCAAGAGATAGTGCAGCAGAGCAGGCAATTTACTGAGGTCAGCTCTGTTGAAGGTTGTAGTGGTAGAGCCAGAAGAGCTTTCTTTTCTTTTGGTCATGGTAGAGGATCCAGAAGCTCAGTCTTACCTGTTTATTTGGAGCCGTAAAGCCAAAATATTTTCCATTGATTATTTTCCTTGTATTTTGTTTTTCATTATAAGGTTATAGGGATTTTAATTAGATTTAGACATGTTAAAGGGCATAGGATTTGTGACATAAAAGTATTTAATTGAAATATCGATTTTTCATTTTATTCGACTCTTGGGTTCGTGCCATAGCCTCTGGCCAGTTTTAGTAAAGGGCTTAACAGCCATGATAAATATAGAGGTATAATTGACAAATATAAAAGTTTTTTTTTTTTTTTGTTGTTGTTGCTTTTCATGCTTGAATATGAGCTACTGGTCCTGGCTTAAGCATTGGAACGGGATTCACATTACAGTATCTGAGCTGAGAATAGTAGCAATATGGATTGTCTGAAGTCGAGGGAGAGCTCACACGATAATTTTAAATGAAAAGGAACCTACAAAAAGCAAGGGAGAGGTGGGAGGTCCCTTGCATTGATTTAGGAGTTCGCTAGAGAGGGTTTTCTTCAATTGAGATAGTCATAGAGGGGTCGGACTCGGACTCTTATTGTTGGTGGAGGGAAAGAATCACTAAAGAACAAGTAAAGAGGGATTGTATAATTGCAAAATTAAGGTCCCCTTCCACTGATTTAGGAGGAAGAGAAGAGTCCTCTTCAATTGAGATAATTATGCCAATAGTCACCCTCTTCTTGAGTCATTTATTATAATTCTAATGCTGGCGGAGGCGGGAGGAACAGTGTTTGGTCATTGTTCTTGCTGTTCCTCAACAGCACCTACTTCCATCCATTAACGTTTATGTTTCCAATAACGTTAAACAAGTATAGAGGTGAATTGATTTTTAAAAAAAAATGTTGAGAGGTTAGTTGAACATTTGAATGCATAAGTGTACGGACCCTAGTCTTTGTTCAGCATATTTCTAGATGTTTTCTGGAAGAGCAGCTCATGCATTCATATATTCCGAATTTATCAAGATGAATTTAGATAGTCTTACAAATCATACTAGACTTATAGACTTGTTCCTCCCTTTTAACATCATCTAGCTGCAAGATCTAATCAAATAACTATCTCCTAATAAGAATAAAACTTCCAAGTATAAATTCGAAAATGCATGTCCTAGTATTATCATGTTCTTCTCCAAAATCCCGGTCTGGCTGAGCGCATCTTACTTAATGGCCTCAGAAAGCGCATCTTACTTAATGGCCTTTTCTGAATGTTTGAACCGAATCCGATTTTTCTTGTTTTCCGTTGCAGACTGGTTTGGAAGAAGAGAAAAGTCCATGAGAAGAGAATCAAATCCACCTGGATAGGAGGAGGCCCAGAAATCTGGCTCAGTTCTACAACTAAAATTTACAAGGATCATTTTCAATACAGGGATTGAAATCCAAGAATGATTTAGAGCCCAAATCATACCTAAAGAGCCTACCTTTTCCATTGGCTTCAAATATCATAGAATAAATATAAAGTTAGTAATAATTGTTTTTTAAAATATTTTATTTTAAATATATTTAAATATTTTTAAAAAAATTGTTAAACAACCCCTCATTACTCAAAATGTAGGACTGGATATATATTTTTAAAAGAATAAGAATTAATTAATCCAATTTATTAAATTAATAGGACTAACTTATAATTCAAGAGAAATTTTAGAATGCTAATTATTACCATCCTTTTTCATTTCCACTTCTGACATTAGAAGTGCCATCTCAGATCTGATACAAAACCACTAACTTGCAATATGAGAAGTTTTCTATCAGTTAGTAAATTATATCAATCATTGTCCTCCTAAATTCACAGAAATTAAGGATTCTAAGCTTTCTGAATGCTATTGGCAAGGTAGTTTGCTTACTTGAAATAGTGCCTTAAGCTAGGTTATTGAAGCATTAATTGTCCTAATCTAAAATTGATTAATTTGTCCAAAATCTAAATTTTATCTTGTTAAACCAATGTATTATGACTTCAACCTTTTGACCACTATTTTTGCTTCATTTTACTGTTAAATGTGTTTCTTGTAAATTAAGATCACATGGAAGGATTATTAACTTTTAATATATATTAATGATATTAGTGAGTGAAGAACTGTTAGATCACAGGTAAGGATTATTGACTTTTAATGTATACCAATGATATTAGTAAGTGAAGAACTGTTAGATCACAGGTAAGGATCTAGCGGTTCCTATATAAGCTTAAGCTATAGTTTTTTATTGTTTGCATCCCTATGAAATAAAAATTTTGACGAGATAAAAATAAAAGGCACTAACTGATCATCCATCATCAAGTTCAAATGTCCAATCTACATTGCTGAAGGAATGAAGTTTTACAACAGTACTTGGTTGAATTAACAACGCATGAGAGATTATGCTTTTTAAATATTGCAAAATATATTTTATAGTTGTCCAATGTGGTTCAAGCGAATTTTGCATATATTTGCTAACCTTATAAACTGTAAATGCAACATCAGACCTTGTGAATGAGAGGTATTGTAGCACGCCAACTATATTGCAATACAGATGAGGATCATTAAAAAGTATGCCATCATACTTTATTAATGATTGAGAGGTTGATATGGGAATCAAGCATGGTTTCGCTTTGTCCACATAGCTGCGGGTAAGGAGATCCAGAACATAACAACATTGGGATAAATGCAAGCCATTTGCATTTTTAATTGTTTCAATCCCTAAAAAAAATGTCAAGTCACCAATGTCTTTCATTGCAAACTTATTCTATAACAAGGTAATGACATGATTAATAGCTTGCATGTCAGCCCCAACTAGAATTATATTATCAATATAAATAAGAAGATAAATAAGTGTTGAGTCTTGGTAATAAATATACAGAGAAGCCTTGGAGATAAATATACAAAAAGTGATCGGCCTGACTATTGATAAAGTCAATGACCTGCAGCTCATCAGTCAACCAAAAAAATCATGCTCTAGGTGCCTAATGAAGACCATAGAGAGATTTTTGTACCTTGACGTGGTGAGGATAATGTTGATGAATGAAGCCTGGGGGTTGAGTCATAAAGACATCTTCGTGGGGGTTGATCTCGTAGATGATAGTTTATCACTTTAAATTTTGTTCATTTATTTAGAAGGGAAGAATCAAGGAAAAGAAAAAAAGTTGATCCATTAGTTAGGATTCAAAGTACTTTTTATGCTCAGTTTAATTGATGCAACCCTCGTTCAGTTCCGTATCATGTTCAATTCGTTTTGCGTGAACTTGTTTGGATTGGAAGAGAGAGAGAAATAATTCTACGGAATTTTTATGCGTGTGAGCAGTTTCTTGGCTTTTTTGTCATGTTATTTTCACAAGGCTTCATATATTTTCAGCCCCTATTGAAGCTTAGGTGGTAAAAGGATGGGGTCATAATTAATAGCTTATAAATTTGGATTTTGTCTTTTACAATTGAGGGGCTTACGTATTTTGTTATGCATTGCTTGTTGGTTTGTGGATTATTTGTACCATCAATTTCCTAGACTATCTGTTTGTTACGCTCTCTGTCTCTCTCTGGACTTGCTGCTGTTATCTTCCCGATTTTGCTTTTCAAAGAAGAAACAGGTAGCTACTGTCGAATGAGAAGTGGGTTAAATAATTATTTTAATTTAATAATTTAAATTATTAAATAAAATTTTAAAATAAAATTTATATTATTTTAATATTTCTTTTAAATAACAATTTTTTAAACTTAAAACTTGTATAAAATTATATTATTTTATATTTAATTTTTATTAAATAAATAAAAATTGTAAAATTTAAACTCCTCGTCACTTAATTTTCAAGACTTTGAAATCATTTTAAAAAACTATTTCAATATAATAATTTAAATAATTAAATATAATTTATATTATTTTTTAAAATTATTTAAGTTTCATTTGTTGATACGACTGAGCTTATATTTACTAATTAGGGTCTTTTCAAATAGTTTGGTAGTGGCTGAAGAAGGGGAAAATTGTATATCGGTCAACTTAAAACCTTAGCAACAAGACTAATGGTATGATTTCCTAGGTAGATTAATTATGAAAATGCTAAACCATTCACATAATATAGATTGGAAAGGAAAATTAGTTATAAGAAGTTGTTTTTTTATTCTTGAATCAATTATTTTAATGCTACTTTAATTACTAGAATTAAAGTGATGTTTCATAATACGAACATCTTCATAAATCTTATCAAGTCAATACAGAAAATCAAGATAGAAAAAGAGAAAAAAAAAACTATATTTTTTTAATAATAAAAAACTTATGTTCCATATGAGTTATGTCCTTTTATATATTAATAAAGAAGATAGTTATTTTTTTTAGTAATTTTTCTAATAAATTGGATCAGACTTATCCATGAGCGGACTAGATATAGCCCAATAACCAACACATAAATTACAATAGATCAACGTAAATGATTGCTCATAAGATCAAAAAGACAAAAAATCTTCATATCTTATTTAGCAGCAAGCATCTGGGTGCTCTTGAGTTTGCCAGCTTTGACGTTTTTTTTCTTCTTTTCTTTTCTTTTTTTCATAAGAACTTGTGCTGGTAACTTGAATATTTGCGCACCCTGATGTTACCATTTTAGAGCCAGCAGGCATCGACTTTAAGAATCTCAGTTTTTTTTTTTTTTCATATTATATCTAATATTTATCTAATTATTATTCTTGATTAAAGCAATATATAATATAATGAAAGTATAATATCTTTTTATATAAAACAACTTAATTATTTTAAATTTAAAAATTACTTAGACAATCATAACCATTACACGAGTCTTTTAATAAATATATATAATTTTTTCATATAAAATATTTACATAAGTTTAAGTATTTCTCATTTCAATAATTTCATACCTCAATATCCACAATTGGTTTTCATTTCTGTCTTCTTCTTGCTTTTTCCACTCTGCTGCTGTTCATTGACTTTACAATGCTGAAATCAGTCCTGTTAGAAATGGAGTTTCGATTCATTAAGCTGTGATTTCCTTTTCCTTTTCTTATAAATGACAAAGGGGGGAGTGTATGATTTGAAAACTCAGCAGCTTCATGCCATGATTCCATTTTTCATGCCAGTTTCAAATGGGGATTTCAGTAGTAGCTCCATAGGATGAGTTTCACCCATCCATGGATGAATAGATGAGAAGCTGCTCCTCGTATCTTGTAGGGGCCTCTCACGATTGAATCATGAACTGA